TAGTTCATTTTCTCTTACATATTTCCAGAGCGGTTTCTACTCCCCTCATTGTTATGAACATCTCACATGTAATAAAGTATTTGCAAAATGCCTCCTGTACGTTTTACTCATTCATTTTTGGAAACTACTAGGTAAAAGGCACTATACTCAGTGTGAGGAATATAAACAACCTAAACTTTAGCACCCAAGTTTGGGAAAGGTGCTTTACAATACAAATATAATAACATAAGACAAAATGATATTTCTGAAGCACTATGCAAATCCACAGCAGCTAAAAATCACTTTTACCTGGGAGAGCCAACAAAAAATTAAAGTATAACACAGACTTTGTAGTAAATTTGAACTATTGAGACAGGGATACGGGGCTCTAAATAAACGTCCATGTGTATGAGTCACATGTGCTAAAGTTTCAAGGTGAGAAAACACAGGTTTGTCCAAGTAAATTTGGTTACAGTGCAGGATATGTGTAAGAGTGGAGAAAATAGTATGCTAACTCAAAAGCTGACCATGGGGTGATTTGTCAATTTAATAAACGTCAACCATATTCTCCATGTAAAGGAGAGTCGAAAGAAATGTTTGGAAAGAAGTGATAATCAGAACTGTACTTTAGAAAGATTATCCTAAGAGCAGCAAATGATTGGAGGGGTGGCAGAAAGACCTCTTAGATCTAGAAGAGAAAAAGGAATGGGAGTCTGAATTGGAGAGTATGTGTAGGGAAGACAGATTCAAGAAACCTGGGGGGAAGGAATTCTACAGAGAAGCAACTGAATTCAAGTTTAATACACACTTTTTACACCTGAGTAAGATTCAGAAAATTTTCACTTAAGATCAAACTTTCTACCTGCTCAAAATAAGAACCACATCAATATAGTTGGTTTTTAATGAAAACTTGCTGGTACTTAATAAATTCAAATAATGAGGCACTGATGTGAAGATAAATAAATTCAGATGAATTTTCAGAAGAAAATATAAAGTGACATCTTTAAAACCCCAGATACAAGGTGGAAACAGGCTGTTTCTCTGAGGAGTATATTTAGCCCCTCTAAAATACACAATGACCTCTATAGAATTCCTAAGAGGAGAGGCTTGATCTATTTTAAACCACCATCTTCTTTCTAGCCTTTGAGGACAATGTCAGAGCTCATTAGATATTCAAGTATTTTTGCAGCCATGGTAAAAACACAACCCCAGTTACAACTAAGCCAATACAGAAAGGGGAGCAGGGGGAAAGGGAAGATCACTAGACTTCACTAGCCTCTCTAGAAGAAGCATTAAAGGAAGGAATGCCAATTCCATTAAGAGCTAATTAACTCATTGTACTTGGCTCTGCTTCTCCAGGATATCAAACATTCTCTGACTACAGATAAATTAAGCACAATAATCACAATAAAAGACATTTTGATCCATCTCTCCCATTAGCTCTTACTTAGCAAAGCAAAGGTAAAACTGATCGACCCAGCAATAATTTAACATAACCCAGTCAGGCTCTGTACTAGGTAGGCCCTGAAAGTACAACAAGAAATAAAGCCTGGTCCTTTTCATCTTCAAGGATATTAAAATTTATGGATGGGACAAGAGACCCAGAGGGCCTGGACTGGTAGTTGGTTGAGTGAAAGAAACAAAGATGAACTAAGCAGATTTGGGGAAACAACTTTGTAAATAAGTGAGGGAAATAAAATTTTATAGAACTCATAAAAATGTTTAAAGTACACAATGTAAAATTATGGGTGGAAAAAAAATGATTCCATGTGTGAAGAACAGACTTAACAGAAAGAATGCAAGCACATTGTATTTTTTTAATAATTTTTTATTGTTATGTTGATCACCATACATCATTAGTTTTTGATGTAGTGTTGTTCCATGATTCATTGTTGCAAGCACATTGTATTTTAAGAAATCAGAACGTAATTTTGTCTTCTCTAAAAGAATGGGGTAAGGTTGGATGATCTCTGTGATCACATCTAGCTTCAAAATTCTGTGATACTCTATTGTACTTTCATTAAGAGTTTGGGTCTAACCTGAAGGAAGTCTCAGAAGAAAAGGGAAACAGTAGAGCTGTTACCCTCTAACGCACTGTGCTGGAAGAAAACACATATTGTTCTAAATGATTTGATGACCACAAATATCAACATGCTTGGCAAGACTACCATATTGTCACAGTGTGTCTGATCTCTTATTCAAAAAAAAGTCTGTTTCACATCTTTTTTTCCTGTTCAAAATTGTCACCTTCCCTCCCTCTCTTTCCACCCCATCGACCACCACTCCCCACCTACCCACGCAGGACATCCATCTCTACATAGCAGTTTCACTTTTAAATATAAAGACAGGTACAAGGGATATTATTTTTAGGAAAATTCAGACATCACTGAAGCTCACCCTAGCTAAATAATCTGAACACTAAATCTATTGCTATCTTAGAAACTATTTTTGAAGAAAAATTAAAAGCTTTTATAAATGGGCACTACTGCCATTTGCCAAAAAAGATGTTAACATTAGGAACACAAAAATATTGATTTCAATAACCAAGAGTGAATATTTCTGGTGTTTCAGCAGTACTTTAAATACACACTTACTTTAATGGACGTAACACAAATGTATACCTGTGTGACCATATTAAAGCATCCCCAGGCATTGTCTTTCCTACCAGGACCTCATTAACATTTGTTAATTATCAGATTTTTTTTAACCTTTCTCCTAAAATGTCCCCTTTTCCATGTTCATTCAGAATATCTACTATCCTATGAATATTCAAATATACAATTACTAACCCACATCTTTATTTTTCAAAATTGTTGCTGTCCTCAGAATTTCGAATTTCTTTGAGAATTGTTTTCTCCCAGGGCACATCAGTGTTAATGTCTCTAATTTGTGTTCTAGAACATTAAGACAGAGGAGGTGATGGGAGCAATACAACTGGAATGGCTTTGAGTGAGTCTGTGATAAAATTAAAGTTTGAGTAATGACCAAAACTTGAAAACGTGGCTCTGTATGCATGTTTATCCACAACAGAATGCATTAATCCTAACTTAGGCTTCTGTTTCTGATACCATGCATAATGAACCATGCTTCTTAATTTTTCCCCTTTCCATTTGCTATTTAGTTTATGAATCAATTATCGGATTTTGAGGGTTTTTATAAAGGACTGATAATAAAAATTGATTGCAAAGTACTCTGAGAGCCTCTCCTGCTAACTACTCTGGAGAGAAAAACAGGTTTTTTTCTTTCTGTTCCTTCATAACTTTTCCCAGTAGATTATTTATTCCAGAAAGAGTGACATGTAGCATACAGTAAATTCCTAAATTTTCTTAAAATGGAGTTTAAGAATATTGTCCTTTACTCCAATTAAAAATCTAGTATTTGCCTGAAGCGTTACTACACTGGCAGCTATCAAAAACAGTAAGACTGGGGTGCCTGGGTGGCTCAGTTGTTAAGCATCTGCCTTCAGCTCAGGTCATGATCCCAGGGTGGTGGCATCGAGCCCCGCATCGAGCCCCGCATTGAACCCCGCATCGAGCGCAGCATCTAGCCCCGCATCAGGCTCCCTGCTCAGTGGGAAGCCTGCATCTCCCTCTCCCAGTCCCCCTGCTTGTGTTCCCTCTCTCGCTGTCTCTCTCTCTCTCTCTCTCTGTCAAAAAAAAAAACCAATGTTGGCAATCATTTTGATTAAACTAAATCACTCCAAGTTTCCAAATAATTACTAATACACAGGGGGCAATCTAATTTTTAATTTAAAAGAGACTAAAAATAACCTAAGTATTTCAAAATAAAATTTAAACTCCTACTGATTTCTGGAAGTTTGGCCTGTGTAATTATTCAAGAGCGAAGTATTATCATAAAAATAATACTTGCACACTTTCTATTATGGGCCTATATAATTTATCGACCATTATAGCATGTGTGATCACATAACTGATTTGTTCCTCCACGTGTTAATCAACCTTAATTAATAGCTTTCTTAGGCTAATGCAATTTTTATTTAGGTCTTTGAATACTAACAGAAAAAAGTAGTTAAGCCTTTTGTTAGGTCAAGAAAAACTAAGGCAATTTTCCTGAGAAGCCGACATATAATAATATAGCACTGATTTAGATTTTAGAAAATCAAGGTCTAGTTATGTGTCTTTAATTGGGAACCATTATCAAAGCCTGTAACTCCTCTGTATCTTACATTGTCTATTGAGAGACGCTGGTAATAAATTACAGCTTCCTTCAAGTCATAGTTAAACAGCGAAGTTAATTGAGAGAAATGAGCTACATAAAACAGACACCATGTTTTCTACTTTTCATTTTAAGTCCACGAGCTCCTAAATCCATGAGGTCTGTACCCACCACATCAGAGGACAGCTGTTTCCAGTCATTGTTCAGGTTCTTGGTCCCGAACCAACTGCCCTGATTCATACACCGTGTTCCAACCAGTTTCTAACCTTTCTATTACTGATGACGTTTGTCATTCTTCAATTTATAATCTAACTTTTCCTTTCTGCCAGATATCTTGCCCTCGTTTTCCAGTATGATCTTGACCATTGTTTCTGGCCCGGATTTTTCTTCTATGTTGCTTCCTTTCCCTGAGTAATGCATTTAGCCCAACCTCCTGTGGGTGGCGCTCCTGCCCGAGTCTCCCCAGCCTGAAAGCAGGCTCCAAGGGCTGCCTCTTTGTTTGCCAGCAGTGCCCTGAAGGAACAGCTTTCCCCGCTGGCAAAGGCCATAATATGGTGTGGTGGGAAGGGCGTTAGGCTTGCCAGACAAAAACTCCCCCCACAGCCTACCTGAGATTCCAGCCAAGGATCATTAGTGTGGCTCCTTAAAATAACTTTGTTTTTAGAATCGGTATCCTCCTAGCCCCCACGCCTACCTTTTCCTATTGAAATTATTGTTTTCCTACACGATTATTGAGAACTCAAGGTTTCTAAAGATTTCAACAACTATGTTATAGCAGAGCAGACGGTGCTTGATAAACAAGATTTTTGTTTCTTGTAATCTGTCTCCCTTTTATTCTGTTTTAGTACAGAGAAAGAAAGAAGGATCTAAGAAAGTTTTCCTCTCACCAACAAGGGATTGTACACACACCAGAGAAGAAGGGCCCAGGACTGATGGTAACAGAAGTGATGGAAACTAACCAGAACGAGCAAACTCCAAAGGGACACAGGCAACAGTATCAAGACTGATCCTCACCAGGTGATTTGAATTCCTAAAACCTAGGATGTACTGTTTTTGTTTCACTGTGGAGCAGAAGTAAGTGTTAACAAGATTAAGCCTTCTTTTTTTTTTTTTTGCCTGCAAAAAAGAGCACATTAATTGGTAAATGGATCATCAAAGATACATTTAATTAATTAAACAAGCTACCTACAGCAGCACAGCACTTTCTAGAACCAAAGGGGACCTAGCCATGTGATTTGGGGTAGGGAGGGATGAGGTGCTCAGGAAAGGGCCCAGTCCAGGTAGGCAGCCCATGGCAGTGGAAGGACTAAGAACAGCCAGTAATAAACATGGGGATATGTTGGGAAGAAATCACTAGTGAGACCAAGAGATGAATAAAGAAGGGACAGAGGAGATCTTAACCAACTTGACCATTTTGGCAGGGTTTACAGTTAATTTGTTCTGCAAATGTGTGTTCCTTGTCGAATAGAGGAAGCAACCATGGAAATGTACACAGAGGAGAATGTCTTATAAAGAATACTTAATATCTACTCCCAGGCCCGCAGCCTCAAAATCTGCATGGCCTGGAGTCCACTCTCCCTTCTCCTCCCATTCCTGATGCACACGCTGTGGACGCCCCAGCCTGAAGGTTTAATCTGACCAACCTCACCACCCCATACACCTGCAGTGTGAAGGCCCTGTTAATGGGAAATTCTGGAATCCCAGATAGCTAAAAGGAAGGGATCCAGTTCTGGGTGGACAGGTTCTTTTGGCCACTTAACTCCTCAAATTGGGAGGGGCAAGAAAAGGCAGGTACCCTTAAGAGTAAGGAGCTCTGGCCTCCTCTCCACCCCCACCCCCCACCCCCGGCCAGTGACATTACAGTAGTGCTATGTACACATGGGCACAATATTCATTTAGAATGACTTTCAGTTTGGTTCAAGACATGTATGAGACTTTACTGACAGCACTTAGAAAAATAGGGACCATCTCAATGAACGAGAAAGCATTGTATTAAGTGTATAAATATCGGTAAAAATTGTGATTTTTGGGGGGAAGAAAAAGGTCAAATGTGTTAACGTCTGCTCTCTGGATCATAGAATAATCAAATTTATAGCTTAAAGATCATGTTTCATTCTACAGATGAAAAAAGTGAAATCGAATGAGTTTCGGCACCTAGACAGTCTCTTGCACGTAGTATCAGTTTATAAATATTTACAGAAGGATGGAACTATTACCTCAAACCAGAGAAAGAGAGCCAGAAGACTTTTGATTCCCACTCAGTTGTTTGGCCCTCCTCATCCCCATGCTTCCCTGGCAGTACTCAACAGCGCGTTGAGACATAATCATAGTCCTATAGGTCTGAAAGCAAGTATGTGAAAGGAGGGGGAAAAACGAAAAGACTCCCCTCTCAATCACAGAAATGTGTCTTCGTGCACTTCTAGTTAAGGGAACTCTAATGCCAATTCTTTGTTAGGGGTATAACAAAATGACCCTGGAAAAATGAAGCCATTCTAACCGTCTGCGTAAAAGGGATTAGAAAAAGTATTTTAGCTTCTTTAGCCCAGATACACAAAAAAGATACTGAAGTATATCCAAGCGCACCTAAAGCCCCTTTCTTCTAGAGAATTACTAGACAAAAATCTGGCCTACTACCGCTTCCTAGGTATCTCAGCAAATGGCCTGCACTGATTTTATTTTACAGTATCAGTATTTTATCTAAACACAGTAGTTACTTGAGACAGAGGACTGGATTCAGTAAGTCTTTTATTAACAGTCCATTGTTTTTAAAAATAATACAACTACAGATCTGCTAAAAGCATGGAGTCATTCTCTACCAAACCAGTGTTCCAAATGTAATTCCATCTGCTTGATACTTTGACATTTTAGGTCTGGAAAAGCACAGGGTGAAAGATGGCGAAGAGCAGGGAGATTTTAGTTCAGAAGTGCAACAGCTCACTTAGAAGAGAGCTTTAGGAAAGCAGAACACAAAACCACTGTGACTAATACATTTTTTCAGATTTATTAAGTAGAAAGGCTCAGAGGCAAAAGAGAGACAAGAGGCAAACACAATTGGCTTTTACACCAGCTCTTCGGGATTCTGGTGTGATGCCCTAAGATTATTTTCATAGCTGGGCAAGAATGATAGGTTGTAAATGTATAACTCGCTGGCAAGACAATACTTTTTGAAAACTTTCTGAAAATAGTATTTTCTACTGAGATATCAACAAAAAAATGGGTATGACAGTTAAAGCAACTGTTTCTCTAGATAGGGTGCACCTGTTTAAGAAAGAAAAATGTCTAAAGAATTTGTTCTCCAGTTTCACATCCCTTGACCTTTGCAACCATTAACTTCACAATGCTAATAAGGGACAAACCATAGTTTAAATGAATCTGTACTTTGAAAGTATATTGGATGTTTCTTCATCCAGACCAAATAAAGTTCTCTTCAAAAAACAGTCAAAAATATTTCCTTATTTTGCACAGATATAACTGGAAAATCCAAATTGAAAGGGCTAGATACTTAATATTAAAAGTGTGTGATTGTTGCTTCAGAAATAATACTTTTGGTACCAGCTTTATTGAAGTATAATTCACATACCATACCATTCACAAATTTAGAGTATATAACTCAGTGGTTTTGAGTATATTGAGAGTTGTGCAACCAATCAACACAATCCATTTTAGAGCATTGTACCACTCACCAAAGAAACCATGTAACCTTTAGTTATCACCCCACCCACCCAGACTCCTACCCCAGTCATAGGCAACTGATAATTTACTTTCTGTCTCTGTAGATTTGCCTATTCTGAACATTTTATATGAATGGAATCATAATATGTGGTATTTTGTGACTGACATTTTGCTTAGCATAATATTTTTATGGTCCATTTATGTTATAGCATGTATCAGTACTTCACATTTCTAGCTTAATAACATTCCACTCTATGGATCACACTGCACTTTGTTTTTCCGTTCATTAGTTGATGGACATTTGGGTTGTTTTCACCCTTTGGCTATTATGAATAATGTTTCTATGAAAATTGGTGCACCTATCTTTGCATGTATATGTTTTCATTGCTCTTGAATGTATAAAAGGGTAACTCCATGTTTAACTTTTTGAAGAACTGCCATATTGCTTCCCAAAATGGCTGCACCATTTGACATTCCCATCAGCTATGTAATGAGAATTCTGACTTCTTTATATCCTTACCAAGACTTGTTATTATGTGACTTTTTGATTAGAGCCACTCTAGAGAATGTAAAGTGGTACCTCAGTGAGGTTTTGATTTGCGTTTCTGCAAATCAAATTATACTGAACAGATTTTCATGCACCTACTGGCTCTTTGTATGACTTCTGTGAGAAATGTACATTAATATCCTTTGCCCATTTATTAAATGATTGTCTTTTTAGTACTGAATTGTAGGAGTCCCTTCTATAGTCTAAATACCATCCACTTATCAGATATACTATTTGCAAACAATTTCTCATTAATGAGTTGTCTTTTCACTCTTTTGATAATGTCCTCTGAAGTACAAAAAATTTTAATTTTGGTAAAGTTTATTTTTTTGTTGTTGTTGCTTACATTTTTGTAGTGTATCTAAGAAACCATTGCCAAATCCATGGTCATGAAGATTTATCTCTATGCTTTCTTCTAAGAGTTTTATAGTTTTAGCTTTTATACTTAGGTCTTTAATATATTTCAAATTAATTTTCACATGCAGTATTGAAGTAGTAGCCCAACTTCATTCCTTTCAAGGTGGAAATAGAGTTGTTCTTGTGCCATTTAGCCAAAAGACTCTTTTTTCCATATTGAGTCGTCTTGGACACTCATTGAAAAGCAATTGACCGGGCGCCTGGGTGGCTCAGTTGGTTAAGCGACTGCCTTCGGCTCGGGTCATGACCCTGCTCGGCGGGGAGTCTGCTTCTCCCTCTGACCCTCTTCCCTCTCATGTGCTTTCTATCTCTCATTCTCGCCCTCTCAAATAAATAATCTTAAAAAAAAAAAAAAGAAAGAAAAGCAATTGACCATAGATATGTGGGTTGATTTCTAGACTTTCAATTCTATTCTATGGATATATATGTCTATCTTTATGCCAATACTAAGTTGTCTTGATTACTGTTGTTTTGTAGTAAGTTTTAAAACTGGGAAATGTAAGTCCTCCAACTTTTTCTTTTTCAAACTTGCTTTGGCTATTTTCGATACTTGGTGTTTCTATATGCATTTTAGAATCAGCATGTCAGTTTGTACAAAGAAGCCAGCTGGATTCTGATAGGGATTGTGTTGAATTTATAGATCAGTTTGGAGAGAATTGCCAATTAGTAACATTAATTTTTCCAATTCATGAACATAAAATATCTTTCTGTTTACTTAGATCATTAGTTTCTTTTTAAAATATTTTGCAGTTTTCAGAGTATTAGTTTTGCACATATTTTGTTAAATTTATTCCTAAGCATTTTATTCTTTTTGATGCTATTTTGAATGATATTGGGTTTTTAAAGAATTTTTTAAAAATATTTTATTTACCCATTTGGAGAGGTGGGGGAAGGGGCAGAGTAAGAGGGAGAGAGACAATTCCAAGCAGACTTCACGCTGAGCAGGGAGCCCATTGTGGGGCTCAGTCCCACAACCCTGAGATCATGACCTGAGCCGAAATCCAGAGTTGGATGCCCAACCAACTGAGCCACCCAGGCACCCCAAAATTGTTTTCTTGATTTTATTTTTGAATTGGTCATTGCAAAGGTATAGTAGAATATAAGCTCTCATACCCACAATATATTGATTTTTATATCTTAACCTTGTTGCCACAACCTGGCTGAATTTGTTCAGTAGTGCTAATAGTTCCTTAGTGGATTCCTTTGCCTTTTTTTTTCCATATACAAAATCATGTCATCTCAAATAGAAATCGTCTTACTTCTTAGGAATGATTTTTAAATAATAATTTACAATATTTTAGCATTAAATGAGACGGCCGACTGTATTATGTCCAGGGATAAGGACTTAGACAATTATCTGGATTTTTCATTTTTGTCAAAATCCACTTTTCACTAATGCATGATTATCTTTAATAAAACATTCCTTTTCTCCTCTTTTTGTTTTCTGTTCTTCAATATAAATTGCTTGGACAATTGTTTCTTCTGACCTCTTTACTTCTTCACAGTAAAACTGCTTTTCTGCAAAAATAGAAATGTAATACTTATTTTGAAAGGATTATATGACTTAATCACAGGGTCAGTAGTCTTTGATTCAATAAAATAAGACAAATTTCTTTTTTTTTAAAGATTTTATTTATTTATTCATGAGAGACAGAGAGAGAGAGGCAGAGGGAGAAGCAGGCTCCCAAGGAGCAGGGAACCTGATGTGGGACTCGATCCCAGGACCCTGGGATCGTGACCTGAGTCGAAGGCAGACGCTTAACCATCTGAGCCACCCAGGCGCCCAAGACAAATTTCTTTATAAAATGATTTTACACAGAGATCAAAAGTACAGAAGACCGATGTCATATCACTGTGTAGCAACTGTGTACTAATATAAATAAGGCAATAGAACATCTGTCCACAAAAGACCAATTAAATTTTTAATGTATGTATCCCCCCATATTTCAAAATGTAAATGCCTGCCACTATGGCTACTTTTCCCTTCTACATGGGAAACTGCTCCCACGATCACTTTGCAATGCATTGAGTAAAAAAAAAGGAACAAAAAACCAAAAACCACAGCATCTGGCACAAGACTGATAGCAAAGCAATAACAATTAGTGAAGAATGATATAAGGGATCCTGAGGTCACTGAGGCTTTCAACATGTCTCTCCGTCTCTGTACAAAATCCAGCTCTGATTCACATATGGCTGTCTTCACTAGGATCACGTTTCTGAGGCACTCATTAAAGGAACTCAGCTGAGGGTTTAGAGTGTGTTACCACAGAAGGGACTGAGTTCAGGGCAACCCACTGACCCCAGAAGGTAGCCTCTAGAACCAAGGAATATTGCAGGGAGTGCGACCATGACGTTTCCCTAAGAAAATATTATCTCTTCTAAGGAGTTTTATCTGGAAGTTAGGAGAGAGACAGACAGAGAGAGAAGCCGCGCTTAGGGCAAGGTTAAAATCCCTCATCGGAAAGAAACTGATGAATCTGTGACATGTCAGCACTGTGCAGAGATCGCTTGTAATATGTGCTTGTATAAAGAAATATATGTAATTGCAGGGAAAATTTAAGTAATTAGTCTTCTCGTCTGGCTGGCTGTATTTCATATTTTTGACAATTACCCACTCACACATTTTTTTAAAATTTTTTATTGTTATGTTAATCACCATACATTACATCATTAGTTTTTGATGTAGTGTTCCATGATTCATTGTTTGTGCATAACACCCAGTGCTCCACGCAGAATGTGCCCTCTTTAATACCCATCACCAGGCTAACCCATCCCCCCACCCCCCACTCACACATTTTTTAAGACCAAGGTTTAACTGTTATAAAAACAGTTATTGAATGTATATTAAAATTTGGCAGAACTGATAGCCTATGTTATCATTAATTCATAATAAAGCAAACCACAAGAATGCTTACTTACAAGTGACATATCCGAACATGCCCCCATAAACTGTATTGAAATGCTGTTGATTTTAATCTCCATGACACACTGGAGCATCCTTATTAGTAAAGAGGTAGGAAAATCAATCTAGAATTGACTCCAGAGCTTTAGCGATTATCCAGAATGATCTGAATTTTAATCTTGATCGGACTTTTAATCTTAGATCTACTCTTTTGTGACTATGTCATATGGAGTAAATCACAAAGTGTCTCTTAAGCCTCTTTTTTTTAATTTGTAAGCTAAAAACAATAAAAAGTACTTAGTTTATGAAGTATTTTAAAGGATGAGATGAGAAAATGAACATAGAAAAAATTAGCACAATGCTTCGCACATGGTTCTCAAATAGACTTTGAATCTTTTGGGCGGTGGGGCAGTCGGGGGGCAGAGAGAGAATCCCAAGCAGACTCCATGCCCAGCACAGAGCCCTACAAGTGGCTCTATCTCACAACCCTGAGATCAAGACCCTAACTGAAATCAAAAGTTGGATGTCCAACCTACTCAACCCCAGGTGCCACGACTTTGAATCTTATTCCTGCTCTTAGCATATCTGAAAATCTTAATAATTTATATGTCTTATACTCACATTTAATTATAATTAAGAGCTAATAAGAAAATACTACAGTTTCCTCATTTATAACATATGCATTGATACTGTCTACTAGTAACATTAATGAAACACTTTAAATTTAAAAGATAAATATATAATATAGATGTTTTATATATACAATGTATGCTATATAGAGAGCATATATAAAGCACATATATATTTCATATATACTATATATTTTTATATATAATATAGCATATGTATTTGATGCATATACATTTTATGCATATATACATACATAAAATTTCCAGCTTTTATACATTAGCTTTTAGTTTATTATCTCCTTTCCTTCCAGGAGGGCCATACTATCCGGATGGAGGACTAGCAGGTAACAAGCCACAGCCTATATTGAACCATATGCCCACATTAATTCAAAAGCTGCTATTATATCTAGGGTGTATATGTCTTTTTCCTGAGGCACTAGGCACACACTAGATGAGCTATGACAAGCCCGATTTTTCTATGTATAACGTAGAGCTCTTAGCATAATACCGAGGAGGTCATAAGAACTCAAAAATGTTCAGTGAACAAAAATTACATCCCAGATCTGATGAAAGAGAGGGGAAGATGATAAGGTAAATTAAAAACCTGACTAATACGAGGAAAATGTCCCACTGGAATATGCTGTAAATCAATATAAAATATTTTACTTTATTTTAGTACATATTATTGATAATTATATTGGTAAAATAGTAATTTTATGCAATTTATAAAGAACTAAAGTTAGGGGTGTGGACTCAAATAAGTTTTTATTAATAGGGTTGATTTCAGAAGGTATGGAGACTTTGAGGGGTGTTCAAGTATTTCTCATCCATATACCTATACTTCTATATACCTATTAATCCATCCGTCTTTTTTTTTAGCTTGGAATTTCTCCCACTTGAAATTTGTTTATATCCGGAAATGATGGAAGAAAAGAAAACAAGAGGAATGATTGAGTGTCAGTGGGCATAAAATGGAATTTGAGAAGTCTCTTAGGTATCTAATTCCCCAAGTCTCATAGGAACCACACAAATTATATCATAAAGGAACTCTACCTGTCAAACTCTTGATATGTATTCGAAATACTTTGCAACTCATAGTTGGAGAACTTATCTTGATATATACCCTTTGCATCTCTCTCTTGCTGAATTAAAGCAATCACCTTATAAGTACTCAATAAGATTTGTAGGGGTTTTCATTTGTCTGTTTTCAAAAAAAAGGACTGTAACTTCCTTTGCTTGTGGATAAACCCAGTACCCTAATTCATCTACTTAGGATCTTTTTTGTTACTAGTTTTCTGTTACAGATTGTCTCCTACATAGGTGGTCTTCCTTTATCAACATGAAATATCACTAGATTTACATAAAATAGATTATATATAACATACAATACATTATATATAATAGATTATATAAAACTTATATATAATATATACATATTATATAATATATATATAACATACATTATAAATATACATGAAATGGAGATTGAAAAGGAGATAAAATGTAGTTTACAATGTGTTAAATAATATTTATCAATACTTCAAATAATTTTGCTCTCACTGTTATTAATATTTTAATTGAGAGCAATAGGATTTTTTTTAACTTGGTTTAACACTTTGTGGTACAGCAATTCAAGGCTATGGCTTTAAATTCAGTGTGTTTCAATATATGATTTTAAATAGCTGTTATAACTGAAAAATAGTCTTCACAAGCCACATAGACCCAAATGAGAGAGGTGCAGTGTAGGCTCTGCTTACTGAATCACACTATCATTTTTCAATCCCATCTGTCAATTATATAAGATTTTTTTTTGAAATCCAGTATTATATCTCTATGTTCCCTGAGAACAATCGGTTATTCTTTCGTGCTAGTTAGAAAGTGCTATGCATCTTTAACTAGAGGAGGTCTTGTTTCCTCCAGTCCAGTACTTCCTACTTCACCGTCTAGTCCTGGCCCACCTGACTACCTCCAAGACCATGTATCAGTGAAAGAGAAGGAAGTGGTTTTTCTTTTGAGGTTGCAAAGGTGTGTGTGTCGGCGTGGGGGGGGGTATGTATCTGTGTGCACATGCGCATATGAGTTGTATTGATAGACACATATGTATCAAGGTTTGTTAAAAGCATATGAATGAAAACTGGCATTATTGGTTGACCTGTGTCTCAACAAAAATGAAAGTTTACATGAAACTCTCAAATGAGCTTTCTGATTTAATAATTCTTGGAGAACCTGAGTAAGAGGGAAAGAGGGAAGGTAGGGAAGAGAGAGACGGGAAAAGGGCAAGATCTTTTATCTACAGCAGAAGGAATATTTACAACACTAAAATGTAAAAAGGATAGAGTACAGAAGCAATAAAGGTAGAAGCCATATCTACCTCCTTCCTAAGTACTCCATTTAGAATCTGATCCTTGTATGGTTTCCAAACCCAGCAGTTGAAACCAACCATGATGAATGGACCGTAATAATTGTGTGATACGCTTCATATGGTACCGCTCAGAATTGCATATGATCTGGAGCATCATTTATGGGAGGAAAGGAATGTTTTTCAGCCAAGCCCTTCTCAGCTTATACTTTGGCTCCTAAAAAAGAATCATGAAATCCAATGTAAGCACATCTAACAGTAGTCTAAAAAAAAAAAAAAAAAAAGGCAGCCAGAGAAGCTGCTAACTTTCTATGACCAATTCCATTTCTTTCATCAAAACTTGATTTTACAGGTAACTTAACAGATTGCACCTGGTGTCATTTGTGATTTTTCAGTTGAAAGAGGTAAAGGGGCCATTCCCAGTTCATAGTGTGAATGCAATTCTGGCAATTTCTGCATTTCCCTTAGAGCATCCATCTTATTTATTGAAAAGGGAAAGGTTAACTTTAATAAATGAAAAAGTCAAAGGAAAAAGACGCAAGGATTGAGATCTGTGGTCCATTGGATTATGTAGTCTCTTAATACCGTATAAATGTACAAATGTCCATTTTTCATTTAACAAAAGGAACTATGAGTAAAGCTTTTATTTTAGAGCTGGAAGGAAGCTTAGCAGCAAGGCAGGTGCTCCAATGTGGATTTTCTCACTAGGACACCAAAATTTTGCCCATGGGCTTCACCACCTTCCCCTCACACAGAGGATAGTTACAAAGGGGCAGTGGGCTCGGCTGAAGGGTGTGCACCACTACTTGTGTGTGACCCAGCAGACTGTAAAGGCTGCCAAAGTTCACACTAGGAACAATGGCAGTGGCTGTGTGACGTACAGGGTCTCCTAACTGTGACAGGTCTGATGACTCAGCTACAGGGTAGCTGTTGTCATCCAGTCCTTAATTACATTGCGCTTTAAGAAAATATCACTAACTTTCTCTTGTGGTATTTTCAGTTTTGCAGTGTTCCAAACTTGAGTCTCTACAACAGTAGTTCTGAACCCAGGCCACAACATTAGAGTCATCTAAGGAACTGTTAAACATCAGCAACCCTGGGCCCCACCTCAGGACAATGAAAGAAGAATGGCCAGAAGGTAGCACAGAGTGGGGAGGTTTTGTGTGTTGTTTTAAGGGCTTGGGGTTTTTGTTGTTGATTCTGTGGCATAAACCTCCTCGGAATGGCATTTTTTTTTTTTTAAAGATTTTTTTATTTGACAGAGAGAGGGAACACAAGCAGGGGGAGTAGGAGAGGAAGAAGCAGGCTTCCCTGTGGAGCAGGGAGCCCAATGCGGGGCTCGATCCCAGGACCCCGGGATCATGACCCGAGCTGAAGGCAGACGCTTAACAACTGAGCCACCCAGATGCCCCCTCAGAATGGCATTTTTTAAGTGTCCCCAGTGATCGCAATGTGCAGCCAGGGTTGAGAATCACCTGGACTTCTGCCCTCCTGTTGCTTTTCATCGTCCTTAGGAATGACTACAGTGGCCGTGTGACAGACCCGTCACAGCTAAAAATCTCAGGCCAATGTACTGTCCACACTTTTTGTTCCTTTCTTGAAAAAACTTGCTCTAGGCCAGGGTTGTCAACCTTTCCGGTTCATCGGAATCCCCTGGAGCGCTTGCTAATCACATATTTCCAGAGGTTTCTGATTCAGGAGTTCTGGGGTGAGACCAGAGAATATGCATTCTGTCAAGCTCTCAGGTGGTGCTGGTGCTGCTGGTCCAAGGATCACACTTTGAGAACCACTCCTCTGAGCAGTTGGTAAAAACCCACCAGGTTCCACCCTCCATACCGATCTTTCCCCACCAAAGGCAAGATTCTCTGACAACTAGCTCTCTCAAGTCCACACCTGCTTCCCCTCTGATGGGTGCCTAACCTAACCTCTAGCAAATGTATTTGCCTCTCACTAGCTACAGTAAGCTTCTAGCAGCTTTTACCAGCTGGACTCTGCCATTTGCTTTCGGTTCTTAAAGAGCAGCTCTCTCTTCCTCGAAGCATTTCCAAAACATTTGAACTGAGTCATTTTCTAAAGAAATGATATTTTCCCATAAATGATGCACAACTGTGGTTACACTACAATGTCTTTTGTGCATGCCACGCAGACATGAGAGGGCACAAGTATCTTACATTTGCTTTTTCACACAGTACAAATAAAGGGGGTAACCCCCCACTCCCAGGACTTTTTTCCCTCTGAATGCATTAATTCAAGGAACCTACTGCTGGTAAATAGAAACTGATGCCCAAAGCCTGGGGAACACCAGGATAAACTTAAGTCAGGAAAATGGAAGATCATTTACAAGTCATAATAAAAAAGAAGGCATTTACAGAATGTCTACTATGGGCCTGAGCATTACGCATTTTTAATTCACAAGACAGCAGTTAAGTAGGCCAAGAGATTCTTACGCAGACTAACATTTTGAGAACCACTGACTTAAGGAAATAAATGTTTGAATGTTGGCATTTGGGAAGAAAAAAAGCACTCTGGGGTCTTAACAGGTCTGAGGGAGGTCTCCCCTGGAAGAGAAACACCTGATGAGGGAAAGGAGGTAGCTGGGAACTTGGGGCAAATAACCCTGGGGGGCGGGAGCAATGTACAGAGGAGAGATGGAGCAGTCACCTGCCTCAGGCAAGCCCTCTTGTGGGTTGTTCAGACAGAATATGCTAGGGGACCCCTTCTGGAGCAGGAGAAGAGGGATGTTTTAGACATAGCCTTAGTGGTGACTTCCAGGAGCCCTTCGTACCCCTGGGATTCCACCGCTCTGAGTGTAGCCAGGACTGCCTCGCAAATGTCCAACAGATAAATGAATTTATAGATGGAGTTCAGAATAAATCAGGCGTGTGGGAGAGGTGGGTGTGACAAAGCAGGGGAGGGAGGGAGGGTGCTGCCTGAGTCAGACAGATTCAGACTTAATTCTGATAGTCACTTCCTAGCTGGTGATCTCAGGCAAATTACTTAATCTAACTCAGGTTTTGTCCTTATCTATAAAAGGGGATAATCATACCTACCTCAGAGAACTGTTGTGAGGATTAAAAGAGATAATGACCTGCTTGGCGCCCAGTAGGAGCTCAATTGTCCAAAGGCGGCTGGCAGACCCAGCTCTCCCTCCGGCATAAGGGAAGCGCCCTACCTTTTTTTCTTAAGTAGAAGCTTTTCTCCATGGGTTTTTGCTTTTCATTATCTGCTTTGTCTTGTGTGAATAGAAATGACCAGCGTCCTCCCCTGAGAGTAGGTGGGAACTGGTTACATTTCAGCTTGTTCTCTCATCCCGCTCCCCAACCTTCCCAGTCTCTCCCCTCCAGCCCGTGTGTGGGTGGGGGTGGCGGTGGGGTGCTGCCACAGGCGTGTTTATATACTCCAACACTCGGCCAGCAACGCTTGCACATCAGTCTTAATTACTCATTTACCTAGCATAACTCAGCAAATCTGTGTTTTCAGTAGAACTATCCTCTTTAGAACTTAATTTCTCTATTTCCCATTGGGCCTCCAAAAGGCGAAATGGACGATTCAGGAGAGAGGAGTTTAGGTCTCATTTTTTTTTCCTTCCCCTGTTTTAGATTTGTGAATTTTAAAAGTAAATACTTATAACGCAGGGATGAGTATAGCAAGAACTCAGCCAGCTACTGCATTAGGTTTTGGTTTAAAGCCACTCTAAATGATTTATTGTTTTTAAATTATTTATGTGGCATTATTCCTTGTAAAATGCAAAAGTGCTGTCAGGAAGAGCACAGCAGCAAGGTTATGAATGGTACTACAAGTAAATCAAGGTAATTA